AAAAAAAAAAAAAAAAAAAAAGCCACTTGAAGCACAGAAAAAGTTGGGAACACGTCCCATAGAAACTCAGGGCCCTTTAGATATCCCTGTGCAAGGCAGCCATACCATATAAATCCTTATCCTACTCAAATTTACCACTTGAAGGAATGAGCAAAGGCAGAACAAGGCAAGGCCATCTTCCTAAACGATCAGAGGTTCTCAGCCTATGGTGGCTTCAACCACTGGGCAAATGAAAGACTCCTGTCTGCTCGAATAGACACTATTCTATTATCCTTTGCCCATGTACCCCCAATTTGGTCCATTTCTCGATTTATGCGCGTCATCATCCTTGGAGGGCCCGTGCTAATCTTCTGTCTGTGTGTCGGATGTCCCAAAGATACCGGTTCCAATTGCAACAACAGCGAAATGAAAAGCAAAAGACAGCTACCTTTTTCTTTTTTGGGAGTGCACAAGTACCTACCCGTTGGGGCGGCCATTAACGCAGTAGCCGAAACCGCCTGCCGCTCCATTCCAAATCCATTCGAGGTTTGGTAAGTGTTTTCTAGTGTGGAATGCTGGACCCAGGTTTTTTTTTTTTTTTTTTTTTTTTTGTGGGGGGGGAGCGCCCGCCACCTAGAGATAGACCACTGGATCCCCCGATCGGCATTGAGCAGAGTCTGCTGATGTTCGTAGGGGAGGGGACCTGAGTGGAGGCACAGGGATTGGTCCTGTTGACATGGTCCCTGATGCTACTGGCTGTCCCCTAGCCGGTATGGCCCACCTGCAGGTCGGGAGCAGCCCCCGCATGTTCTCTCGTGAACACGGTTCTGGCTGCTACGGGGTTCCCCGTATGCCTACTATTAGGAGTAGTGGTAGGTAGGTAGTGTTGAGGTGAAATTGAGAGAAGAACATAGCTTTAAAAAAAAAAAAAGAAGAAGAAATAAAAACTTTATATTGCAAATTATTGGAAACGGAGGCCGGGGAACCTCACAAACATCCCGGAAGCTAGGGCCATAGCCCAGAGTATGCTGGTGCTGGAAACCGGGTCCAGCGTCCCATCTTGCCCACTGCCTCAGTTTCTAAGTAAGGAATTCTTCCAAGTACAGCATGTAGCACAGCAAAAAAAAAAAAAAAAAAAAAAAAAAAAAAAGGGAGTCCTGTGTAGGACCCCAGAACTCCTTAAGGTCTACTTGCAATATCTGGTAGTCTCTGCTGCTTGTTCGAAGACAAGGCAAATAAACCATGAAGTATGAAACACAGCAGAGAGGGGTCTGGTGGAGAGCGGAATTCCAACCCCCGTACTCCCTAGTACAGACTTGCAACATCTGTTAGACTCTGCTGATTAGACGTAAGGGCAAAAGTTCAATACAGACTAAAGCAGCATGATTACTATTCCAGTACCCAACTACAGATAGGCTCGACCATTGGGGCATCTAACACGACCCCCTACAGCCAGAGCTATCTCGAACAGTGCAGCCAAGGTTTGACTTTCATTGGCCCATCCGAGGATAAGGAAGCCAAGCCGCATTCTCTCGCCCAGGACCTAAGAAACCAAGGCTTGCCTGACCCCCCTCTATTTGTGGAACGTTTCCAATCAACTTTGATCATCATTCTCACCGATGAGAGGATCTGAGCGTGTTGCTGGGAGAACGAGACCTTCTCATTCTTGAAGACAGCTCTATTCCTTGC